TTGCTCTCCAAGCTTGGTCAAGAGTGTTGGTCCTGGGGCCCCCTTTATTAAGTTTGGCCAGCTCATTTGGAGTTTGTGTGAGTCATGGTAACCTGGTCAGCATTAGCTAGCTACGTGCATCATGGCTTGCCCTAGTCGTTATGAGTGTAGTTCTCTTTGCCCGCTAACTGCTATCGCTAACCCAGTTTTCCATTTCCACACTTGTGCACACAGCTACCTCATCCGGGGCTCAGATCAAACTAGTTTTCTGTCGTGGAAGAATCCTCAGCGCTCTCAGGATGAGCTTGATTTCTCGCGTTTTAGCAAGTTCGGAAGATCTCGCCGTTGATGACAGTCTGGTCCCTGACACAACCGCCCACACCCCCGACGCGAAAGTGAATGACCAAGTCTCCCAGTCTCCGCCGACTGACCCTGACCAGGCAGCCCCGGGATATGGCGACTCTGGTGCACCGGAGATCACGGCCGCCAACTCAATCCAAACGAATGCCCAGGCACGCCGCGACTCTGCTGCGTCTTTGGCACATTTATTTGGCCGCGTGGATTTGGGATCGGGTCCTAGATTCTCCGTCATGACAAAGCCTCTGACACCCGATATTTACGTGCAAGGACCGTTTTCAGACCCTGTGAAACGTGCGTCTTTCGCCTTGAGTGTGAGTGAAGGTCTCCAAAACGACCAACAATCTGGTGATACTGCCGACAACCTGCCGACACCACCAGCCGCGAGCCAGTATGCCGGCCCAACCCGCCTCCAAGGCATGCCGCACACTCCGTCTCGTCCACGCTATGATGGTTCAACTGCGTTGGAGAAGAAGTTCATGCAACAGTACCAAGAGTATTGGCTTCAATGTGCTTCCCTTCGTCAGCTCGGTTTTCAGCCCTATGTGATGCCTGTGGGCGCGTGCATTGCCGACGCGCGACGCAATCGTATTGCAAAATATGATCTCCGGAAACCGGAGGAGACCATATCTAAAGAGGAATGGATAAACTATTTCCGAGAAGGCAACGATCTGGGCGTCATTGATTTGACAAACAAATGAAGGAACTGCGAGTCAACTTATCACTCACCGATTCCAAGAGTCGAATTTCCAATTTGATGCACGCAATGGATACTATACTCGAAAAGTTGTCCATGACGTCAATGATGGAAGCCGAATCAAAACTGGTTGTTGCGTACTTGGTGGACGCATTGGCTCCGCCAGATTTCAAAGCAACGGTGGTCGACGAATTGAATCGCAACGCCAACAAACGTTTGAAGTAGAACACGTTGGAATTTATTGATTATCTCCATGTAGCAATGAGTTCCAACATGCGTTGGGAACGCGAACGGTCGACGTCGCGAGTTCAAACAGTGTCACACCGTCCCCACCAGACCCTGGTCGCCCCCTCTCCACCGTCACCGTCCGCTGTTTCCCGCCCTCCCACCCGTTCCGTCACGTTTGCGTCGCCGCCGCCGGTGCGCATGGCTCTTGGTGACCGCGCGCAGTCTCGGGGCGGCGAGTTCAACCGTGGTGGCTCCGGTGGCCTTGGTGGCCGCAGCGCCGGTCGCATGGCTAAACAGTCCGCGCGGCATTCGGGACCTCGCTCTTGCCGCTCTTGTGGTGGTGGTGACCATTCGTATCGCGAGTGCCCTAACCGTTCGATGATTAACAACATCACGCCGTCGGCGGTTGCTACTGTGTCGGCTGCGGGTAGTGTGGTGGCAGCGGTGGTTGAAGACGTCGTGCCATTACCTACTGTTTTGCTCGATACGGGTGCTGACACCTCGGTGGTCAAATTTAGCCTTGTTACGGCCTTGCGTTCCACGGGTGTCCTTTGTCATGTGATCCCTGGTGCTAACCACTCTCTGGAACCGTTCATGGTGAACCTGTTTTTGTTCGCGACCGCGTTTTATTGGGCTCTGTTACGCTATCTACGTCCGCTGGTCCTCTGCTCGTGCGCAATGTGTCTGCCTGGGTTGTCGATGGGTGCGCAATGTGTCTGCCTGGGTTGTCGATGATGCCCGGACTGAGCCGCGGTTGATCATTTTACGGCTGGTCAAGTAAACGTTGGGTTATTCCCTCGATGCTCTCCTGGTTCGCGCTCGAGCACTGACACCAGAGTGGAATCTCGATGTTCCCGCGTCGTGTGCGCCTCTTTCGGTCGCCCCTGTGACTACTCTGGCCGCGCAGTCCCCATCTGTCGCGACTCTGCGTTTTCTGGCTCCCTCGGACGAGGTCCTTATTGTGTCGACACCTTCCTCGGCGACCAGTGATATGCCTGGATTGCACTCGGCATCATCGCTTATTCAACCTCCAACGCTCGGTGATGACACGGTGTGTGATGAGGATGTGCGGACGTCATTTTGTTGCCTCTACCAGTCCCTGGCGGTCAACCGGCTGTTCGGCGTTTGTTGCACGAGCGTGTTCTCGAGGCTGAGGCCAATGGCCTCGCTGGTGATCATCTGTCGCGTTTACGTGCCATGCTCCACCGCTATGTGGATGTTTTTCGCATCGAGTTCGGCCGCGACCCCCCTTTCAAGGTTCCTCCGTTGGAAGCGCGTGTCCGTCCATCTGAGTCGCCGGCGAAATGCTCCGCCAGGCGCTACCCACGAACTCATCAACGTTTCATGGAGGACCACATGGCGGATCTCGAGGCCGCTGGCCTTGTCTATCTCAATACTGGTAGCCGTTGGGCCACTCCTCCGCGAATTGTGCCGAAAAAGGACGGCTCGTATCGCATGACGGTCGATCTCCGCTCAGTCAACTCGCGCACGGAGCACCTCCAGTGGCCCATGCCACAGCTCGAAGTTGCCCTCGGTTTCCTCACTGGCAGCCGTTTTTACCTCGCGCTCGATTGGTTTTGTGGTTACTGGCAGCTGCCGCTGGCCCCTGGAAGCCAGGAACTGTTCACAGTTATGACTCATCGCGGCATGATGACGCCGACGCGTGTGACCATGGGTGGTTCTGACAGCGTGGGCTACTGCCAATCGTGCGTTGAACTCATTTTCAAAGATGTGTTGTATCGTGGGATCCTCGCCTGGCTAGATGACATTCTGGTTACGCTTCTACGGAAGATTCGCTTCTCGACATTTTGGACCGCGTGCTCCAGGCATGCGCGTCCTCGGGCCTCAAGCTACACCCAAACAAGTGTTCGTTTTTTCTCACGCGTGCGAAGTGGTGCGGTAAAATCATCTCGGCCGATGGAATCAGCCATTGCCCAGATCGTGTCAAGGGCCTGGTCGAACTTAGCACACCTACAACGGCGGCGCAGTTGCAGAAGTTCCTCTGCTGCGCAAACTGGGTGCGCTCAAGCGTTCCCCATTTCTCTGGGCTCGTAGCACCGCTCACGCAACTCCTCGCTGTCGCCTCTAAGTCGGTCTCCAGTCGCCAGCAACGAAAACTCGACAAGGTCTTGTTGTCGACTTTTGCCTGGTCTCACGAACATGATGCATGTTTCCGTGCAGTTAAGGATGCTCTTATCTCCATGGTCTCGCTCTCGCACCCTGATAATGAGTCTCTGGTCTACCTGTTTGCCGATGCGTCCCTCGAATTTTGGGGCCCGGTAGTCACCCAGGTTCCATTCGAGGACAGGCAGTTGCCACTGCCAAACAGCGTCATCGCCCGCTGGCGTTCCTTAGTAGTTGTTTTACGGTGCCGCGAGTCGATGGCCCATCCCCGAAAAGGGGGTCTTCGCGATTGTGGAGAGTTGCAAGCGTTTGGAGTACTTTCTGCTGCGCCCTCGTGGTTTTGTGATTTGTACCGATCATCGCAATCTCGTCTACAACTTTGACCCGCTTGCAACCGACGGCGCCATGCAGCGCCATCAAGCCGACCGCCTTCAACGATGGGCTATGGTCATGACTAGCTATAACTACTCGATCCTTCACATCCCCGGTGAGTCCAATGTGTGGGCAGACATGCTTAGTCGTCGGGGTATCGTAGTACCTGTCGTCTCCGCCAGCTCTGTTGGCGTACTTGCACTGGTCCCAGTGTCTCCACTGCAGACTGCTGATTTTGTTTGGCCCACGCTCGGTGAGATTGCTAACATTCAGCGTGATCACTTGCCACCGCCAGCCGGCGTGACAATGGACCCTTCTCGGGCCGTTTATTGTTCAGGCGATGGTCTTGTGTGGGTTCCAAAGAAAGCGCGATATCTCCAAGCTCGCCACCTCGTGATTGCTCATGCCCACCTCTCTGGTCATCGTGGTGTGGACGCCACGCTATTGTCACTCTCTGAAAGGTGCGTGTGGGGTGCGCAGGCTGCCGATGTCGCGGCGTTCGTTCAGTCCTACTTGCACTGTATCTGTGTGTCGGGTCGCATGGTGCCACGTCTGCTTGGTGAGACCCTCCATGCCACCAAGCCCAACGAGGTGCTCCACGCCGATTTTCTAACCCTGCCCAAGGATAGGCTCACCGGCTGGCAATACGTCCTGGCTCTCAAGGACGATGCCTCTGGCTTCTGTATGCTCATTGGATTCAAGACCGCTACAGCCGATGCCTTTGCCACGGGTTTGGTGCGCTGGTTCAGTATGTTCAGCGTTGTGCCCACT